ATTATATTATATTATATTAGATTATATTATATTATATTATATTTTATTTTATTATATTATATTATATTATATTATATTATATTATATTATATTGTATTATATTGTATTATATTATAATATATTTCCTGTATTATATTATATCATATGATATTGTATTACATTATATTATATTATACTATACTATATTATATTATATTGTACTATATTATGATATATCATACTAACTTATATTACCTTATCTTATTTCGTATTATATTATCTTATCTTATCTTATATCATATGATCTTATATAATAGTATATTGTCTTAGAAGAAAACGCGAAAATCGCGTTTTCGACTTTTCGAAAAAAGTCTATCATTTTATATTATAGTGTATTACCTTCTCTTATTTTATATTGTATTACATTATATATTATATAGTATATATTATATTATATTATATTATATTATATTATATTATATTATATTATATTCTATTATATTATGTTATATTATATCATATTATATCATATTATATTATATTATATTATATTATATTAGATTATATTGTATTATATTATAATATAATATATTATATTTCATATATTATATTATACAGTATAGTATAGTATGTTATATTATATTGTATTGTACTGTATTTAGTATATTTATATGTACATATATATATATAGAGAGAGAGAGAGTACATGTACTACAAAACCAACACTGTGGTATGACTCAGACAGTTCGACCATCCCCCAACTTGGGGAAAGGGAAAGCGGACATGGCAGGTGAAGTTTCGTCTCTGATTTGTCTTTGGTGCTGCCTCAAGCTTGCAGCTTGTGCTGTGCGTGCTGTGGTTTGTGGCGTTTCGCGGTACATGGAACACACACTTCTTGAGTGAAGCAAAGCTAGCCGTGTTTGCATGAGATACTCAATACGGCAGATTGCATCGATTTGCGAAGGCTTCACGCATTCTCATTTTCGACGCTCTACGACTGCGGCCTCCGGGTCCAGCGGCTTCGCGGCTTCCGCCTCGCTGCGGATGCGGGCATTCGGCACCTGCAGAGAGCGTTGAGAGAGCATTGAGAGAGAGGGTGAGACACGGTGAGACGGAAGAGCGGAGGAAGAGCGGACCCGACTCACAGGCGCGCCTCGTAGATGTCAATGACGCTCCCGTCTCGAAGGATCTGCCAAGAACGTCGCGTCACTCTCTGCCGCGGGCTGGGCGCAATTTCGCTCTGCGCCTCGTAGGAAGCCACGGGCGCGCCTCCGCAGTCCGCGGGCGGCTCCCACTCCAGGGAGACCTGGACGAAGGACGCCGCTAGCAAACCTCTCAAGCAAAAGCGACGGGCGCCCGCACCACGAGGCTCCCGTGCTCCTTCCGGGTGTTGGCGCGCAGGTTCCTGCGGCGCTCTCGGGTTCTCGAGACGCGCTTCACGGAACGCTTTCTGCTTCCGAGCTCTCCTGGGTGCAGTGGGCAGACCTGGCAGCTTCGTCTTCACACTGGCCGCATCGCTCAGCGGCCTTGGAGCTGTCAGTGTTGCCGACCGTCTAGATCGCGACATCGTCACAAAGCTTTGACGGAGAGAGGAGGAACCCCTTGAGAGGAGGCGATTGTCCTCTCCTTCGCATCTCGCTTCAGCAACTGGGTCCCTTCACCCGGCAACGTCCTGGCCGTTGACAGCCTTGGCCGCGGCAACCAAGCTCGGCAACCAAGCTCGGTAGGCACCGCCGCACTGCCAACATTGTTCCACTCCCTCAGTTGTCTCGGTCAGGAACAGCGACAGAGTACTCGTAGTCGGTGAATGCAAAGAGGTTGATGTCGAGGAAATAGCAGGACCTAAGCCCGTTTTATTTCACTCTGCGTCTCTTCCCAAGCCGTGTGTGAGCGGTCTCGGCGTGGTCTCGGTCTGGCCGATGAGGCGAGCGTTGCGGAAGATGCGGTAGCCTCGGACAGTACAGAGCCGAGGCATCGCAAAGAGCGAGGCTTTCTGGCCGCATGGGACCCGGCACTTCACCGGGGCTTCCCCGTCCGCCAGCGCCGGCGGCCTAAGCTCAGAAGGTCGCTGGGCTGGGCGCTGCTCGGCCGCTGGGCTGGGGGCTCCCAGAGAAGCTGCACCCGCGAGCCGTCCACGGCCTGAAACAAAACCATGTCGCAAAATCTCGCCTCTCCCCCAGACTCCTCTGGGTCCTGACTATGCCTGACTCCTCTCTCCCACCTCTCTCCTCTTCGCTGCCCTTTTTCTGGGACCGGGCGCCTCCGCCGTGAGGTTCTGAGGCTGCTGGGGTGGCAAGGCCACGGGGTCCAGGTGGCCGTGGGTCAACACAAAGACGCCTCGGCGGCTTAGAGCGGAGCTTCAGGAGCAGATCTCAACTCTCGGCTCAGCACCGGGAGTCATCACTTTGTAATTCTTCCCGCCCGGGGCCTCCAGTGTCCGGACTCCAACAGGAGTCGCGAAATCCCCAGCGTCCTGCCTTGTCCCAGCCGCGTCCGCCATCGTTCATCACGAGCTCCAGGCTTCGTGCGTACGGGAGGCACAGCACCAGCCAGTCCTGCAACAGCGGACACTGGCGGAGCGCCGCGGAGAGCACACAGGCACACCGCCACACCGCCACACCACACATCTCAGCTGGCCTCGGCCTGGCTGAAGGCGTGGCAAGGGCTCGCTTCCAAAGCCACACCGGGCAACTCGCTCCAGCGGTCCTCCGCCAGTCACTGCTCGCGAGACACAGACAGAATGCACATTACATGGCGGCGCCATGCGTCTCCTCCTGAGCACAGCAGTGTGCATAGGTACGGCCCCAGCAGGACTTGTAAAAGACGGTGACGCCCATCTTCTTGCCCTGCACCTCACAAGTCCAAAACACGAGAGAACAAAGCGATGCAAAGCGATGCAAAGCTCCGTTTCCGCCTCTGCCAGGTGCTCGCGTAAGCTCTCGTGGCAAGAGCCCACCTCCCAAGGCAAGGCGAGTTGATCAGTGGCAATCCAACAGGCGAACACGACAAAACCGACCGAGACTCACACTCGTGATGTCAGGCTGTACAGACGACTTGCTAGACTCAGTATCTTCTTCCCTTCTGCGGCGTCTCTGAGGCGTTCTAAGGCAGAGGCACAGAGCCGCGGGGCCAAAGCCAGAGCTTCGTTCGAAGAGGGGGTTCGCGAATGCTCACCCCCGGACTGTGAAAAAAGCACACACTCGCTCACTCACTCACTCACTCACTCACTCACTCTCTCGCTCTCTCTCCCGGGCATGAGGGTCGGTCAGGACCCCCGGGCCACAGGCCCACTCGCCTGTGTTTCTCTCTCTCTCTCTCTCCCTCTCTGCCCCCGCACCTTAAGGAACATCTCTTTTCCTGTCTCGTTGGGAGACCCTAGAGAGTCGCGGCTTTGCAAGGTTGTCTCTTCGATGTTGGACCAGCTTGGGCCGCGGCCCCATTAACCGTTAACGAGTTGTCCCGCTTAGTGCTCGAACATGCTTCGCCGAGCTTTCATGACAAACGTGTGCAGACTGCTTCACCGTTCATCCTTCCGTTCACGCTAGATGCCGCCATCGGATTCTTTGCCAAAATCACAATCATGCCTTCAGAGCCTTCAGTCTTGTATGGTCCCGCGTGGCTCATGAAAGGCCAGGGTCTTTCCTCAACATGAGAAGAGCATGTTGCTCAGCCGAATCTCCATGGGGCCGTGAGGGGGTTTGTGGCTGTGGCCGAGGCGGTACCAGCGCAGCCTCAACCCTCTGAACCCCGAACGCTCCACAGACATCGTCTGCTTCCCGAATGCAAGGAAAGGCACAGCACTTGAGCCGACCAGCCGACCCGCCTCCAGCGCATCCACGGCCGTAGTCTCCACTCCCGTTGCTGCACCCAGATTAAACTCCTGCCGGCAACTGCCCACGATTTCCAAGTATCGAGGCGCCGCTCAGCGCCTCTGCCACGTGTGGGAAATGGTCTTCCTCCGGTGGAACGCTGGCCTCGCAGAAAGCGCGCAAGCGACAGCGAAAGCGATCGCGAATCGCGACGCTCTGCCGCTGCGCCGCTCTTTCCCGCGACGCTCCCACCTGCCGCTCCTTGAGTACGGCCTCCCGCAGCTCCTCAGCTTCTCTCTCTCTCTCTCTCTCCCCCAACACTCTGCCCCCAAAAGTGACATCATGCTGGCAGCCCATGTTTCCTTCTCCGCAAGGGGCGGCAAATGGGCGCCCACAACCGTGTAACCTCTGGCTGCAGCGGCTTCGTCTCTCGCAGCTGCAGCTGCCGTGTTAACCGCGCATGAGTTGACGTTGCTTCTTTGCGAGTCATATACGCACATGACTTCTGCCTGTAACTAAGTGCGCAAGCAGGCGTTGGGTAAAAGTCGAAAAGTCGAAATGTCGAAAAGTTGTTGACTGTTCGACGTTTTTGGGCTTTCTTGCACTTTTCGTACTTTTGGGGTTGTTCAGTTTTTCGACTTTTCTGGCTTTCTTGCACTCTTCGAACATTTTTGGCTTTTCGGTGTTTCAACTTGTCGGGTCTTATTGCACTTTTCTGACTTTTCGGGCTTTTCAACTTTTTCTGGTTTTCTTGCACTTTTTGGACGTTCGTGTTTCTCGACGTTTCGGGTTCCGCTGTTCGTTCAAGGCTTTGGGGCTTAAGGTTTTGAGTTGTTTGAGCCTTTCTGGGGCTCGCTTTGCAGATCCCTGAAGGGTCCCTTTCACGGCTCGAACACGATGTAGCATTTGGTGATTTATAGGGCGTTATAGGCTTTAGCTAGGTTTTGAAAAAATCTAGGGGATTGAAAAGAGCTTATGAGGTTTGTTCATATCTTTAACTGAGCACTGAAAGACACTGGCTTGTCATGCTTTTCTAGAGCTGTACGGTCTCCAATGAGTTTTGTGGCTCTTCAAAGGGTTTCAACGATGGGGGCGGAACGCTTCGTAATGGTACCCCTCCATGAAAACTCCTCGCGCTATCGTGCCCCGAAGCGTTTTTCACATCGTTAAGGCTCCAAAAATAGTGGTTTCCGCGAGGATTCGAACATTTAGTTAAGTTGCCTTTTCTGTTGGTTCTACTCGGGTTTAACCCTGGTTGTCGTTGAAGTGTTTACAAACATTTCTACCGGCGTTGATGAGGTTTTAGGGTTGTGATTACCGCCCGAAACAGCAAAACAGCTGTTTTCCGAGCTCAGTGTTGTCCGCTTCACGTTTCAGAAAACCCTGCTGCACGCAGCTTGCTTCATCCCCAAGTCGAACACCTAAGTGGCACACATCTGAAGCATCTGCCCTTGTCTGCAGAGAGCGCAGGCTTAAGAATTTCGGGCACTGGGGGAAGTGTTCTGGGCTTGAGCCCAATTCGTCAAATCAAAGCACAAGAGAGGATGTAGGGTGTCACTGAGTGTGCGAGGTGTCCATGGTACAAGGAACTCGATGTGGAAGGTTATACAAAAACACGTAAACATCTGCAAAGGCTATGTGTGTAAACAGAAGCAGAAGTATTGCTGCACGTACATGCATACGTATATACATATATCTGAAGACCCTAAGGGTCCGAGGACCCAAATAGCATGTACTCTCGGGATCGCTTCGGGGGGAGGGTCTTTCACGGATTACTGTGTATTTGTGACCTTTGCCCCAAAGGCCTCATAAACAGAAACTGGGGCTGGGTGAATGTATATAATATGTATTTGGATGGATTTCTGATTTGGAGTACACAGATTCGAATCGGCCGACCGCCACGGCTCTCGGACATCCGCCATGCAGGGGCCGCATATAATGGGTGTGTGATTATGTGTGTGTATATATATAT